ATATGATGACATGGAAGTTCTGTCTAATCCACAATCCCACCCCAAAAAAGAACTTGCTCAAATCCAATAATCACATTACCAAAAAAAAAAACACCAAATCCAATCATCACACGCCACATAGGACACCCAACTAAAATCCGTGGCAGCCCGTTTTTCCACCAGGGTACAGATGGGTCCCAGTGGGACCCAACATCCAGCTATAAATATGACAACCACTTTGGATCCTTTCCAAGCACTCTCCTTTCTTTAACCGGAAGTCTAAAACCACGGCGGCGGTAGCAATGGAAAATTTTCAGATGAGCCGGCAGACTTCCGATGAAATTGACCGGTTTCTCAACGGAGCGGCGACTTTCGCCGACATGCTTTGGGGGTTCTTGGATGAAAGCAGTGAACCCTCTCAGCGGAATTTGCAAGACTTCGTTGACAAAGATGGCGACCACGACGACGAAGACTTGAGTCCTCGACATGTTGAAGAAAACAGAATTTTCTGGGAAACTCAAGAACAACTTCTCCAGGTAAAATTAATTTCTAAATATCAAAAAAAAAAAAAAAAGTCAGTTGAAATGATTTTTGTGTTGGGTATTGAAATTTTTTTTGTGAATTAATTTGCAGGCGACATTGTTTAGAACTACTTCTCTTGAAACAAGAATTAGACAAGCTACAAAAGAAGCAATTAAGGAATTGAATTTGGCGGGTGTTCTTTGTGTCTGCCGGAGACCCGCGGCTGGAAACTGCCGGAAGTGTTTGCAAAGAGAACTCTCAATTCGTCTTCAGAACGCCGGATTCAACTGTTCCTTATGTAAATCCAAGTGGAAAAGCACACCGGAAATCCCATCAGGTACATATCAATTAATCGGTCATTATTTTCAGAACCTTAATTTTGATAATTACTACCTTAAGACAGTTAAGGTCAAAATTCAAATTTTCAAAAAAAAAAAAAAATTGATGTTTGGTACATGAGGATTGATGTTAGCAGATAGTGGTTCAAATTGATAGGACGAATATTGTATTATCTATATTTGATCAGCTAATATAAATACACCTATATAAAATAATTAACATAGATGCTTGTTCTTGATGATTTTACAGGGGAACATAAATATTTAGAAGTGGTGGAGAAATCAAAGAAAGGAGAGGTGAGGGTGGTGATCGAGTTGAATTTCCGGGCTGAGTTTGAAATGGCAAGAGCCAGTGAAGAGTACAACCGGTTAATCAGTGGGATACCGGAGTTATTCGTGGGCAAGGCAGAGAGACTAAAAGCCCTGATCAAGATTTTGTGTGCGGCGGCCAAGAAATGCATGAAGGACAAGAAGATGCACTTGGCACCGTGGAGAAAGCACAAGTACATGCAAGCAAAGTGGCTTGGCACCTACGAGATAACCGCACCGGCGCCGTTACCGGAGGACAGGGTTAACCGGGTGCCGAAGCCAAAGACATCCATGTTAACCTTTGATTTGAGGAGCAATTTGCCTGGAATCCATTGTACTGCCGTGGAGGTTGTGTGATTTTCGTACCTGTATGAGTTATAGTGGAGATCGGAAATTGAGTTTTGATCGGAGTTTTGATTGTGAACTAATGGCCTTATGTAAAAAGAGAGAAGGAGAGCCTATCCAAAAAAAAATTAAAAAAAGAGAGAGAGAGAGAGAGAATGGGAGAGCGTGGTGTTTTTTGAAATAAGGAAGAAGTTTTGTGGTTTTAAGTATAAATTCCACTTATAATTGCGCCCCGTCGACTAAAGACCAGACTAAAAGGGAAACGGGTTATTACCACTATAGTTTAGGGACTAAGAAAGAAATTTGCTAGGAATGTTCAAGTCTTGTTATTTTGTGACTGTTTCAGTTTCACCCCTGCTTCAAAATTGTTTTTGGTTTTCTTTAGTTACAAAATTATAACTACTAAAATAACTTAAAATTTATTATAAAAATGATTTTGCTAAATTTTATTAATTTCAAAATTATTTATAATTATTTTCTATAACTTTGTAATTGAGCACTTTCAAAAATTCTCCCTCAAAGTATACTTTTTTTTAAAAAAAATAAGCTCAAAGGACATTTTTACACAAAAGTTGCACTATAGTTTGAGTTGTTTTTGTTGATAGGAGTGGGCCAGTTTTATACTCAATCAAGCTCATCGGAAAACAATTCTTTTCATTTTCCTTTATTAACAAGAACCAATGATGATGATGATGATGATGATGATGATGATGATGATGATAATAATAATAATAAAAAGAAAATAGTGTGCATTAATTCTAATTTTTCAAAGAAATTAGTCTTAATTTATAAATTACTTGATTTTATTTAATTAAAACTTTATCCCTTCTCCCACCCCTCTCCTCCCGTAAGCTTTCAGTTTATCGGCGATTCAATCCTCACCCACAGTGATTGGCGGCCGTTTTTGTGCAAGTGAAGGATGCTGGTTAGTCAGCCTGGTAGATTGCCAGTGAAGGATACAACCACTGTGTTTAGCGTGGTGGTATTGGATGGATTGTAATGGTGTGGAAATTCTGGAAGCATGTGGCCTGGTTAGTGATGGTGCAGTTGGCGATTTGCAATGTCGAAATTGAGAAAGACATTGATTTGTTGAATTTTTAATTGTTCAAGTTAGTTTACAGCAACAAGAAGATGAGTGCTCACAAGGGGCCTAAATAGTTGAATGGTAGAAGGGTTATCATTGCCACGGTAAAGATTGGTCACAAGTTTGGGTGGATCGCGGCAGCTGGGAAATGTTAAAGGTGGATTTTAATTAAATAAAATGAGATATTTTAAGAGTTGAGATTTTAATTTTATTTAAAAATTGAGATTGACATATATTATTTTTATAAAAAAAGTTATATAAATATATTTTGCTTTTCAAAAATTTAGTTTTTCATGTTAATTAATAGGAAAATGATGGGTGCACACCTGGATCTCACACCCGTGTGCACCCCCCATATAAACAAAAAAAAAAAATGCTCATCACCCTGTTCAACTTTTTTTTCTTATGTGGGAGGTGCACACCCAGATGTGGGATCCGGGTGTGCACCAATCATTGTCTTAATTAATAACTGTTTTTTTCAATTTAGTTGTAGTTTATTTATTTTTCTTATTTCTCAAATCTTCTCCATTTCAAAGTTTAAAGTGATAACGTTTATGTACTTCGGAGGCTTTAATTAATAAGTGCTGATGCAACTTCTAAAAGCTAACCAGTATCTCAAAAAATTATTTTCTGCGTGGAATCAAACAAAACAATATAATGAGCTTTAGTTACAGCTAATTAATAAAAAATATGATTGAGAAAACTAAAATAAGAAAGTTAGAGGTTAAAGTAAATTAGTTGGTCTAGAAGATTAAAGATTAAAGCTCTAATCTTCATTAACTTGTTGTTTTTGTATACATTTTTTGAACATTGTAAGATGCCAGCCCTCTTATGGGCAAGTGCCCTTAGATTTGCAGCAAACTGGCTTCCAGCTGCTAGTTAGGGATGAAGCCAGCAGTTCTTTTTATTTTTTTATTTTGATGGATCTGAACCAAATGTGAATGCAAGATTGACACTTGATTTATTCTTAATTTATATACATTGGATTTCTTATTTTTTGAACTGAAATCCTGCATTTTAATTTCATGTTTGTCTTTTGAATAAGTTTTATTTCCATGTGAAGCTATAATAGGTAGCAAATTCAAAACTTATTTTCAATTATCTGATTTCACAAAAGGTTCCAATCTTCGAAACTAGGTTCCGGTGGGACACATTTAAGTCGTGAAGCTTGATTGTCCAGTCTCGAGTTACAACACCTAAACATCAGGGTGCAAAACCTTGAATATAATCCAAGTGAGATGTAGAATACGCACAGGAGGGTCCAACCCATACATTCAAGTTTCCAACCCCCTCAATGCAGAATTTTTAATTAACTTTCCAAAAAAGAAGCAAATATTTCCAATTGAGATTCAATGGTCATAAAATAAATTGAGTGAGTTTGAGGTATAAAAGAGATCTGGAGCCACGCAAATAGCATACCTTATAACACTCCAACATGAAAACTAAGAAAGATCAAAAGCTTTCATCTTTAATTCTTTTTGCAAACCAACTAAATTCTTAAACAATTCTTAATCATTCTTTTCCTCTCTCATTGAAACAAGAAAGAAGGAGATTGGGAAAACCTTATTATCATCCTTTAGGTAATGAAAGGATTGAGAGATTTGTAACAAAGGAATTAAATAGTTGATAACACTTGCAAGTTATTGTTATCAATTGCATCAATTGCACTAGTATTCATTAGTGCTAGTGCTAGTTGATTCAAATCTCAAGTGTAGGAGGTTCAGGGATTGGACGTAAGCATTGAAGAGGATGAGAAACTAGAATAAATTGAAGCATTTGATATCTCTAACTCTGTCTTTTTAATCTCCACAATTTATTTACTTGAATTTTCAATGACTTGTGAATTACTTGTGCTTGTTCACAATTTTGTTTTTAAAAATTGTGTAAGGTTTTTGAAAATCCAATTCACCTATTCTCTTGGGTTGCCATTATCTAGGCCAATAGTCCCTTCCAGATTGGGGCAATTTTTGAACATTGTTGTAATTTCTTTATGGTGTAATAAAATATAAGGGTGAGCATTTTTAAGTACAGGTCAAGCAGGAGTTATATTTGGTATTTGATTTAAAATTTTTCAAGTACAAATTTAAAAGTTTTTAGGTACAAATTTTTAGACTCGGTATTTACCCAAATATTAGAAGAAATATACTTGGTACCTAACCCAATAGGCATTGGGTAACTTGCAGGTATATACTTGTGAATTTGACTTAGGAAAATAAGAGATCTTATAGGAGTTATTATGGTTGTATGTGTCATACATTTGGCTTAGGATTTGTTATTTATTCTAGTTGCTATTATTGTTTGTGTGATATGTTTGGTTTATAAGCCTTAATTTTTATTTCTATTTTTGTATTTTATTATTTTATTTTCAACAATTATTGTTATTATATAGATTTTAAATATAATAAGTACAGGTAAAATTTTAGTTATACAAGTAGAAATAACAAATAAGTTAAATAAGGTTTAGTTTGATAACACTTCTCAATTTTTAGCTTCTGATTTTTTGTTTTTTCACTATTTTAAAAATAGATAAAATATTGATTAAAATAAATATTAAATATGTTAAATATATTTTATACATTTTTAAAATATTAAAGGATCAGAAAACCTACTGCTACAGTTATAGGCCAACACTTTAAACTAGACCTAAGTCAGTTAAATAGGTTTGGTGAATAATTCTGAACTCATATATTTGTTATTTAATTTTTACAATTCGAGTATGATACTTATTCAAATAGATAAAATACTTATAAATGTACTTGTACTAAATATTCACCCCCTAATAAGGTATGTTTTTGGAATCCAAAAGAATTAAGGTTTTATAGATAGTGATTAGTGAATATCATTTTGGTTAAACAATTAATAACTTTGAAGTTAATTACCATAGGTCCATAACCACTGTTTTAAAACTTGGGCCGGATTGGTTGGTCTAATCGATTGAATTAAAATTGGTTATAAAATGGTTCAAGCCATAATATAAACCTAGTTTGTAATGAGATTCGGTCAAAATGAGTCAAACCTAGTCAAAATTTGAAAAACCAATCAAACATGTTAGCTTTTGAATCAATGAACCATTTGGTTCATAAATTTTGAATATCTTTTGATCGGTTGAACTAAAATTGGTTATAAGACAGTTCAAGTCATGATATAAACCAAATATGTAATGAGATCTAGTCAAAATCAGTCAAACTTGGTCAAAATTTGAAAAAGCAATTAAACCCGTCAGCTCCTAAACCAATGAACCGTTCGATTCATAAATTTTAAATATCTTTCAATAAGTTTGTGTACGAGGGGATTTGAACCCTACTCCCTCAACACATGTTTTAGGGTTTTTACCATTGGGCCATGAACACTACTATTGTTTGTTTTAAACAAAATTTTATTTACTAAAATAAAATAAAATAATATAATATAATATAAAATAAACTAGGTTAGAGTTAAGAGTGCATTTATGTAATTTTTAATAATTAATTATTTTCTAAGTCAATATCATGTTGATGATTTTAATTGTATATTTAATAAATGAAATTTCTAATATATGCCCTTAAGGTATAGGTAAAATTATTAAATATAGTATCTTTAATTAATTTTATACAAATTTTTTATATCAAATTCAATTAAAATATAATATAAAATGTAAAATTGAAATATAATATAATATTTATACTCAAAATTTGTAAAAATGTAAGAATTTGATATAAATTTATGCAAAATTAATTAAAAATTCTATATTTAATGAAGTTTAATCTATACTATTAAGGGACAAGTTAAACAAACCCTTAATAAATTAAAATCAACCTTTATTTTTTTATAAAAATTTATTATTAAAAGGCACATTAAATACACAAGAACATGTTAGAAAAATATTTTCATAAAATAAAATATATAAATTATTTAATTTTAAAAATAAGATAACAAAATTAAAGTAAATACCTTTAAACTCAAATTATAAATCAGATTACTAAATTAAATTAAACTTTTATTTCTACGATTTTAAAGTATTCATTTAATTATAAATAATAATGATAATGATTTGATACGATTCAAAAATTTAAGTGTTTAAATATTAAATGAAATTTGATTTAATGATATTTTTCTTTCCTTTTCTTTTTTGTAGAAATTGTTTGGTGTTAAAAGATTTAAATTAAAATTTTTATTTAATTTTTATAAAATTACTAATTATTACATTCAATTTTTAATTTTGAATAAATTAAAAAAATTGAAATGTTAG